ACAACATTCCACACACTCAATGGCACTTCATGACTCTGTGCTTGATGAATGTGTAAACTAATTTTATTTTAGCATTGGGTTTGGGGGGGGTCCCTTGATAAGTCAGGAAATAAAAGGCTGGGAGGATCAATGGTTCTTGCACAATCTAGCTCTTTGCTTTGTAAACCCCAAGCCTGACTGAAACTGCAACCCTTGACTTTCTGGCTGGCTGGCTGGAGGTATAGAATATTCTTTCTTTTTCACAGGAAAAAGCAATGACTGCAAAAGAAACAAAAGCTGCAGCTATTCATATGCACCCGTTGAATATTTCTAGCTATTGTGTGGCTTTTAGATGCACTGTGCCATTATCAGAAGAAAACAATGATATATATTTTTTCTACTGGGGTACAATCATCCTGCCCCATCCACAGAAATACAATGGGGTTAGTGAGAGTAAATCATTATGACTTTCATTTGGACCTCACATGTGTTTTCACTAATTTTTGAAAAAGCCAGTTTTTGGACTGCAACTCCAAGAGTCCTCCAGTCAGTATTGCCAGTTAGCCATGTTAGTTTTGGAGAGCCAACATGGTGGGTGGTTTGAATGTAGGACTATGACTCTGGAGATCAGGGTTCAAAGCTGATAACAGTCACTCCTGACCACCGCATTCACCTGACTAGTCATGTGAAGCAATGAATCTAGGAGTACCCCCAAGCTGCAAACACAGTCCTTAGAGGAGAGTGTCACTCCATCCAGGACTGGAGACTGTATTCCCAAATCTGGTTTCAGTCCCGTGACTGTCAGTACCTCTGTTTTGTCTGGATTCAGCTTCAATCTGTTTTTCCTCATCCAATCCATTACCGCTCTGAGACAGTCATTGAGAGGAGAGACGCCATCTGAAGTCTGAGCCGATGATCTGGTCATGGAGAAGTATATCTGGGTGTCGTCAGCGTACTGATGACACTGCGCTCCATGCCTCTGAATGATCTCAGCCAGTGGCTTCATATAAATGTTAAATAGCATCGGGGACAGAATGGCGCCCTGA